TCATAATGTGTAACTATTTAGTGTGATGTACTGTATATTTAAGTAGCATATCAGTTGTATCAACATTGCAAGTAATCAGTACCTGACTGTCAAATCAGATTAATTCAGTGCAATTCAATTCGACATGTCTGCACACACATGTAACAGTTCTTACCTTGTAAATAGTATGATTTTGTATTTAACCATGTAAACACACTTTTGACGTAGCTCATTTTAGGTTTATAATGGAATAATATAGATTTGTTGTAAGATTTCCTGCGCAAGTCTGAAATCATGAGTGGCGTGCCAGATGCTGAAAACGTGCAATTTTTGTTTCACCTGAGTTGATCTATATAACAGATAATATTACTTTATACATATTGTAACGGCCACTAGGGCATTTATGGTAATTTTGTGAATGATTGACAACTGGGCGGGGCATAGTGCGCGTCAGTACAAGGTGACGAGGTGATGAGATAACTTGCTCTACCGACAACATTATTTTCTGTCCCCTTTTTTTATTTGGTTCTTTTCTGTTTGTGACCTGAGCGGAGTGTTTATGTACATTTTTTTTCCCTTCTCCTCACTCGCTCCCCATGTATGTGGACGAGTGTGCCAGCGCTTGAGGCGGTTTATAAAACTCGGGAAAGTACGCCATCTTCTCGTCTCCCGTGCATTATTAGCACCACACCGTTCTCCATCTGGGCTACATAACATTACAAACTCAGTGTCACAATATGTTAAAAAGCGGAAACTTCCACGAACATGAAATCACCATTAAACTATGTCTATTTATCCAACATGTTATATACAGTGCTTGAAGTGGGCCGGAACGCAGTTCCGGAACTTCTGTATTTTCGTCTTTTGGGTTCCGGCACTTTTTTCTGCGTTCCGGTACTTACTGAAACTGATCCGACGCAGCGACAGTGGCCCGAGATAGTTAGAGTTCCTGCACTTATTTTTTCCCACTTCAAGCACTGGTTATATAATACATACTGTATTTGAAAACTTTTCAACTATATGATTTCAGGACAGACCAGCCACTCTCTTAGGAACATTACGGATTTTTGGTTGCGTGTGTTCGCTTCGCTGCTGTTATTAAGCAGTCACTCTGTTAGGAACATTACGGCTTTTTGGTCGTTTTGCTGCTGTTATTAACACTAATGGCACATTAGCGCAGACAAAGGGCTATCGTCCAGGTCCGTATGGGACAGCTTCTGGGTCCGGGTCCGGCGCAGTCCACCTGTTAGTGACCGCTGCTGTATTGGTATAATTAATCATACTAGAAAGATTGACCTGATTTAGCCCAAATATAATGGTAATGATAACTTAATTAGTACTAAAAAGAGCATGAGCATTAAACTATGGAAGCTTATCGCATATGAGAGTTAACATGAGTGACAAAATAATGCTGGGTTAAATGGTTAGAATGTTTGTGCTTGGTGGTTCGTTCTGTGATCGACATGTTTGTTAGCTGCCTGTGCAAAGCTGCGGGTTGGCTCCGTATCCAAAAACCTTTAAATTGATCTAAATTATATTAGACAGACTTTTGTGGATTGTTTAAGAATAAGATCAGTGTGACATTTTTTAGTTCAGCAAAAACACCAAAAACGATGTCCACGCCGCTTAATTTAACTTGCGTTACTTAACATCGCACATCCTGCGATGTGACTATTGCACGTGCGTACATCGCAATGACGATAATGAAACGATATATCGTGCAGCCCTAATATGAACATACTTTCTTACTCTGGACACCATTCCAAAGCAACTTTGACATTACTCTCTACCAATAACTGTCAAGAATGAGGACAAGGATCTGGTGAGACTGAAACGAGATAATGTCCTCTGCAGTAAATTGTTTTGCTCTCTGTGTGTCTTCAGAAAAACAAAGAATATTCATAAGAATATTCATTGAAAAGCTGAAGACAAAAATATACATTGTTAAAGCTGAAGTTAGCAATGGCAATACCAATGAGAAAAACCCAACATGTGCAAACTCCATTTGACTTCAGAAAAGGAGCCCATGTGTATAGCAAGTGAACATAATTACACTGCTCAAAATATATTTACTCTAGTGGGAATGGTAATAATGAACAATGACAATCAATAGCGGATACTTTTAAGTATAAAATGTGTGATTATAAGTACATATTAGATTATAGCATCTTTTGCATGGAAGGGAAATAAGTACAGATTTAATTATTTTTATGATGAGGCACTAAACATCAGCTGCAGGTGCAGTACCTGCATTGACAGCCTTGGAGTAAAATCAGAATATCTGGTCTAAGAAATAAAAAACACCTGTTTATCAAACATGGCTACCAGTTCATAATGGCCAGTGTACTTTTCTATGCAGTGGCCTGTTGGGGAAGCAGCATCAGTTCAGGTCATGCCTGATCTAACTCTTCAGGAAGGCCAGCTCCATCACAGGAATGACTGGTGTCCTTGGACAACATTATGAAAAATTCTGCCCCTGCACTCTAGGGGGTGCTCTCTTGAAGTACCTTTAGTCACTGGTATGCAAAGTGCTACTGCCTTCCTACCTGCTGCCATTAGGTAACACAACACTTCCTTCCAATGTACCACCCCCCCAACCCCAGCCATAACATGTCAGGGCAGTATTTCATTTTTAAAAGACAGCACCAGACTTTTACTATGCAAATTGCACATGAACCACCCTTTAACTTAATTATCTTTACTTATTTCATAAACAATATCATTTGCATGTGTAATGTGTTTGCACATTCTCTTTGTTTTGCATTATATGTCGGCTTCTGTATATAAAGGAATTTCCCCCGGGACCAATAAAATATTCTCTTATGTTTTCTTTATCTTCAGGTGAGCACTCAGCATTTGGAGTCAACCTACTTAGTCAACTAAGATTAGTAAGTAAATGTATGACTCTAAAATTCCAACTGGGCCATTAAGCCACACGACTGTCCATTATGTTATAAACAAATTACAAACTATTCAGGGGTCATCTACAAGTTAAAATAAAAACTGAATGCCCTAATGCAGCAATCAGGATGACCAAAATATAAAAAGGATCAACAATAACATACAGTTAACAGCATAAACAGTCAACAACAATACAGGTATTATTGCTTTGAAGCAATCTTTAGAATTTTCTGTATTTCCTAATAACAATTGATACTTCCCTGTGGGGAAATTGTCTTTATGCCTCCCTCAACTTGCTCTTTGTGGAGTAATTTGTCTGCAAAGGGCAGCCAACCATGGCAGTGCCCAGGGAGCTGGGGGTTAAGGGCCTTGCTCAAAGACCCACAGACATGCTGAAGCTGGGTTTAAACTTTACAGGCACACAGCCTTAGCCCACTGAGCCACACACTTGACCCCTTTCTGCATGAATGTCTCTGACCTGAATATGATGTGATCTTCATCTAAGTCATAATTATATCTTTTACTGAACAAATTACACACACAATATTTTATATTGCCCTATCTCTATTAAACAAATGGAAATGAACTTCAGTGACTTCTATTACTGTATATAGCCAGAAATGGTTTCTGTAAGCAATGACCAGTCCTGCACAGTAGTTAGGAGATATTTTGTCCTTTTCCTCTACACAAAATGGTTTCAGTCCATTGATATTTTCATGATTTCTCGAGTGTGAATTGATTTTTTCAGATCATGCTGTAGCATAACAATGTGACTCTGACTTTACCATTCTAAAATCCATTCTTATTTTAATATAGATAACAAACACCCTGACATTCTTCTGATGAATTTCTGGATATAATTTGGAATCAATTGGTCCATCAATGACTGAAACCCTCCACCATGCTTGACAGTTGGAATGAATTTTGAGTGTTGTTGCTATGCAGTGTTTTTCTTCTCATGATTTTTTGAAGAATGGTAGTTTTCTTTGTGGCACCCTCTGGTAACCTTCTCTGTATAAGAGACTAATTAAATATGACTATCTTTGTTTATTATTATAACTCAGAGATAAAGTCACATTTAGGAACAATTCATGCAGAGATGTAGATAATTGTAAAAGGTTTTCTTTATACAGTCCATCAATGATGTGATATCCTAGTCATCTATTCCAGTAGCAGCAAACATTGTGTCTCATTTTTAAAGAATCTCCACTTTACTTCATAGAGTAAAATTATTTCTCATAATCTGGTTTTTGATAGATAGAGAAATAGACAGATGGACAGATAAACACAGAGATAGATCAATCCATCAATCAATAAATAAATAACTCACAGGGGACAAACTGGGTCAGCGAAAGAGACTCCTTGGTTGGATTGTATGTAAATGTGCCCAGGTGTAAGGATTGCCCCATCTCAGACACGCATCGTCCTGATTCCTGCTACAGTTCTGGCTCTACAGCCTTTCTCACAAAACGCTGCAGTCTTTTACCTCGTGCAAATTGCAAAGTCATCGCGTTGCAGAAGATCTCCCCAAATCTAATAGTCCTTCATAGCAGTTTTAAAGAGACTGGGTGTTGAGCTCGATTAACCCCAACCCACGCTGAAATTAAGGTCCCCCAATGAAACTTGTTGCTACGACAAAGTATTACAAGGTCGGTGTATAATTATGAATGCAATACATACACATATAGTCACATTAAGAGTAACATGGTATATGCTACAGTTGTCTAATCCTTTTGCGTGTCCATTGCGTGCAGGCGAGTTTCATGCATTCCTTAGCAATGCATACATAAAGGTAATTCACACCGTAACCAGACTGGTGACTTATAGAACAATCATGCTCAACGATTTTGACTCACAGACAACAACAAGGCCAAAAGATGTAAACATATTCTTACCTGTGGCCATGATTTGGCCGTCAGAGCTGGCAGTATTCGACTGATCATTTGAGTACCTGCTCTCTAATCCGAATACCGCAGAAAACACAAGTCCACGTAGCAGCAAAATCACAGCCTGAGAAAAGTAAGTCATCGCAGAGGAAGCTTTAAAATCCTTTTCACGCCGTTGAAGAAAACGAAAACTGAGAATATCCGATGTCTTCTAGAGCAGATTTTACTCGAGTGTAAAAATCATAACCGTGCCCATCAACTGATGTTTGTACAGAATTACAATTAGAAATCGATTACAATTAATCGAATTTCGTGATTGGAACGTCGAACAGCAGTTCTTCACACAGAAAGGGAGAAATTTAAACTGCTGTATAATTCACGATTTTAAAAAACCCTAATGCATCTCTATATGAAAATATATAAATATGCTACAGTAATGTGACTAGTGTAAACATATAGTTAAATACCTATAAAATATACGTAAGGTTCAAAACTGAACTTTATCCGTGTCATCAAAAAATTAACTTGAAAAACCGCATTTATACAACGTTGACTGTGTACCAAAAAGTGAACGCGACACGTTTTGAATCCCTTAGGCGATTCAAATGACACTTTATATTAAACGATTTTAAATATCAGGCAAATGGTGACTTCAAGTTGAACAAACTTCCAAAACCAAAAGTGCAAAAACGTGGAATTTCCAGCCAAAACAAATAAAATAAAAAACATAAAAATACAGTTGCTTGCTGCCAAGAAACGATGTATCCAAGCCGCCTTAAAGTGCAATAATCCAATCCTTACGACTGAATCAAGACAGATTGCTTCTGTACGTCCACATACAGTAGGCACACATCACTGATGTTTTACTATACTGAAGCAGTAAGACATATAGGTTTGCCTCTTCAAATGAGTATTGGATCTTCTACAGGAAATTAAAAAAACATGTTAACTACCTAATTTACAATCTGTCTTGAGGTAACTCCTTGGTTAACAAAACGCCAAAAACCTCTTGTCCAACGCAGTCAGTCAGTTTTATTATATAAGTAAAACGTCTGGTTTTCATAAGATCAAGTGACACATCTGTCTTTTTGTGTTCCGCTTTTACAGCTGAGTGCTCGACACAGGACTAGACCGGCAAGGCGGAAGTCCGCATGCAAATCGTCAGACATCAGCACCAGCAAATGTATTCGTCCGCAACCCCACACCCCCATTCTACACACACACACATAATATATATATATAACAACTTGTGTACACCGCCTACACACACACACACACATTATATATATTTAAAATATATATAATGTGTGTGTGTGTGTAGGCGGTGTACACAAGTTGTTTGTTATTACTGCAACCAGAGCATACTTAGGTCTTATATTTAACCACCAGAATTAGCAATAAAAAATTATGTTATATATAAATTAAAATTGCATTTCTCGTCAGCACAAAACGCGGAATCGCCGCTAATTTGCTGTGGCTTCCCTGTTTTATCCCACTTCAAAGTGTCGTATGCATTAACCCTGTGCGTTTTTGCCTGTATGTCTTGCGTTACCATTGGCTGTACGGTCTAGCATGGCGTGATGCCATTGGCTGCCTTTCATACATTGTTGAGAATCACTAATGAAATTAGTGAAATGCGGTAATGTTTTTTAAAGCTATGAAATACGTGTTTGGTATGTGTAAAAAGAAAACTGTTTAATCTTTGAAGGATACGCAAAGTTACTCATAATGTATTTTTAAGAGAATCTCGTTCTCCACATGCCCCTGCTTGTCATTGTCAAGTTGAGAATCAGCAACTGAATCTTACTTGTTTAATCATATTTATTCAAATATTTCAGTTTAATATTTAAGCATTTCTTGAAAGGACCAATATAATATGCTGGACAACACTATATTTTGTAAATTAAAAGATAATGTGTTTTAGAGAAATAGGAATAGGACATTTCCTGGTACAATAAATCACTCAGGGTGTGAGGAATGATGTATTTATCTTCATAGCACTGATGGTTTGGCTGTAGGGTATGTAGTAGGGGTATGAACACTGGCAGATTCAGGGGGCCCAGCACTTTTCAGAGGCCCTTGAATACATACAGGTTACATGAAGTAAAATTGGGTGGGTGGCGTGCAAGGTGAAGTTTTCTCAGCAGGCCCAGATTTTGTTAGCAAATGGTTGTAGGTAAGGATAGGAAACAAAGTGCCAGCAGGGTAAGCAAGGCAGGCGTGATAGTCTTGGTAAACAAGTGGCATATGTGATACAAAATGTTGCTCCAGAGAGGCCAGAGTGAAGGAGAGAGAGAGGCAGGCAGATGAGAGGGGAAAAATACATACAAGCAGCATAATTTGATATGAGTGTGGGGGGGTGGGGGATCGGGATCATTCGGCAGCTGTCCAGAATGCACAGTGCAAAGGCAGATCTTAAGACTACTCATAATACACCAAAGGGAGCCATTTACTCAAGGAGTTTAAGTAAAGTTGCATATATCCATTTGGGGAAAAATGTAATTTATAATTCATTCACCCAATCATTGTTGAATTGCAATAAAGATCTTTAAATCTAACAATCTGAAAATGAATTAGTGTAAAAAAATAGATCTGGGGCTGGAGAACTGTAAACATATTAGGAAACCTAGGTATGAATTTATTTGAAAAGTTGCTACTTCTTAACTGTTTAGTTGACTTAGTTTATAAGAAAGATAACACCAATCCCTGTAAAATAGTCCTGGTGTGATTACTAGGTTTCTTTTGTTATGCTTAGTACAACCTCATGGGGGAGCAGGTTTTAAGTTTGCACGCATGGGAGGAGTAGAAAGGAGAGACACAATGAGGAAAGTTTGGAAAATGGTGTGGTAGTAATGGGACTACATTGTCTTGTACAATATGATTGAATGAGGGCTGAAGTACAAATTATCATGTTCTGTCTGATAAGTGGAGAATCTTAGTCATGTAGAAGCAGAGTTTAGAATCCAATAAATAGCTCTCCGAAGTTGCCATACACTTGATATTGTTGGAGTGTCATGTTTTTCACCAGGTTTGGAACAGTTTTTCTGGCAATCCCAAGATGTCGAACTGAGAGAAATAGATCACCAATCCCCTATATGTGCAGACTCCTAATGACAGCTGATTTTAGTTTTTAGATCTGAGATATCAGAGTTTTAGCTGAATGATGTTAGTAATGGTGTTTTATTGTGAATTGCTCTTAGTAAAAAAAAATTGGTAATCATACATTTAGGACTGACACACTCATAATTTTTTTAGGAGTTTCTCCTAAATTGGCAAGTTAGGAGCTCTTTTTAGCCTTAAGATGCATTGTGAATACAGGCCGAGAGCTATATTGGACTCACCAACTGAGAACTACCATTAGCATCCTTTTACCCAACTAAAGGAACACTTACATAGATACTGGTGGATCCATCCCTCGTTCTGTCTCCCTGCACCTCTCTTGATTTGTTTGGTGGAAAAATTCCCAGAGTGATCCAATGTGACAACTGTGGTTTCTTTATTGACTGATAGTTTTGGGATACAAGGGCCCTGAAGTGATGCCACTGTCCCTTTGTGCTAGATCCATGTTGCTTCTTCTGGGTTGGGAATATGGTATGTGTTGTGATTTTTCTGTAAAGGGTGTTTGATTCGTTTTTATTTATGTAGGCAATAGCAATGTTCAAACCAAGTGTTTGTCAATGAAATCTGATGGGAATATTCTACTTTAAGACTAAGATTCCCTCTAGGACTCCACTGTATTCAACCTTCTAAGTTTGTTCAAATACACCCTTTTATCCAGTTAGTGGTTAGTATACAACTTGTGGATTCCCTCATACTGTATGTTTTTCTTGTAGGTCCGCTTCAGATTTGAAACAAGGTTGGATGTTACCACAATAAGTATGCTACACTTTAAGTGGGATATGGTCCAAAAAATATGCATCAGTATGTTTTCCTTTGTGACTGTTTATTGACATTGACATTACCATTTCAGAAAACATAACATATTAGTCTTTCTGTTAAAATTTCAACATAAGCATGCAAAATGCTTGCAAATCACTGCTAACATTCATGGATTTTCTTGCTAAAATCTTAGTCCCAGGGGATACCAGAGTGAGGATGACCCCCATCTTGTACAAGCAGTGGTTAGTTTCCTAAATTCCCATTAGTATCATTACTAGCCCAGTAGGTTCAGCACTGTTAAGTTCCCTAATAGCAGAAGGGGCTTTCCTACCCTTACCCCATCTTAGCCATACTCCTCCCATAGCCCTCAAACTTCTACAAATTCTAGAATCACTGGAAGGATCAGCTGGAAATGTGAAAGCCAATAAATGTGTTTTTATCTGAATGCTCTGAGTTCTAGTTATGACACATCATTCAGAAATTATACTGATTAATTTATTGTACAATTGCACTTACAGTCACGCCCACGCCACAAGCCAGCTAACAGCTAACACTGTTAAGGCAAAAACAGGCCTCTGCCTGTTCCAGCCTGCTGCACCTGTCTGCTCTGCCTGGGGTCCCCGTGTCTTACCATTAAGTTCCTGCTCCAGCCCTCCAGCCTTTGAAACCTCCTCGCTCCCGCTGCCCTCCCCTGCCAAGCCCTGTTTGAAGCTGGAGCTGCTTCGCCTGCAGCTCAACCTAAGTTAGCCTGTTTGCTCCCCTTGTTTACCTGGGCTTGAATAAATACCCCGTGTCCAGGGACAAGTGACTCTCTTGTCTCTTGTGAGTGTTTCTGATATTCAATTTACAAAATATTTCCTCAACAGTTATGTGGTTAACTATATTTCTTTGTGTATATCTTAGTGTCCATACCTTAATAAAATTTCAATTATATTATTTATATTTATATTCCTTCAACATGCACTCTGTCACAAACAATGCCAAACTTACTCGAATAACCAATACCACTCCCAAGATAAAGGTCTCCCCACACCGAGCCTCACAGAGCTTAACTGTAGGGCCATCTAACATATTGCATTTACAGTAGCACAGGATAACACTCACCTGCTGTTTCACTATACTGCTCTCTGGGTGCAAAAGCTTGGTACTCTTAAGAGGATGAGTCACTGAGGGAATTAGGAGTCTGCTGTCACGTGTCATCTGTGCTGTACCCTGTACATCTGTTGTGAGATAATGGTGTTTGTATTATATTCTCCATTGTCATTGTGTAATGACAGGTGTAAAATGTGATGTACATTCCTCTGAGATGTACAGTGCTGTGGAAAAGAATTTCTGCAATGGATAATAAAGTCTGTCTTTCTCTCTATCTCTCTAACCAACCTTTCTAAATATTTACCCTCCATTTACTTCTCATTTGCACTATAACCAACATTTGTTGTAACATAACAGTAAGATAGGTAACAAATACACCAATAGTATGTACAGTATCCTGTAGGGGCTATGCACAGTTTAGATTAGATAGATTAGATTAGATAGCACTTTATTAATCCCTCGGGAAGGTTCCTCCGGGAAATTTAGTTCCAGCAGCCGTACACCGACACATTACAGTAAAAAAAAAAAAAAATAGAATGAGTACACATATATAAGTTTGTTTGTCTAAATTTCATATGCACATTGTCATGCATACAATTTAGTTTAACTTTATCCCAATTTACTAAATCTCGCTCACAAAATCACTAAAATGTGGTCACAATTTGATATTTGCTGTCTAATTAGTTTCAGTTTTTCTTTATTAAGTTGTGCTTACATTTTGGTTGTGCTTTTGCCAAAAGAAAATATGTTCACAAAGCCAGAAGCTGCAGTGAAATGTACGAATACTATGAGTTTTACAGTAATAAATTATTTCGTTCAAATTTTTACAATAATGTATAATGTGTCCCCCATTTAAACTTGGTCTTGCTTTAGTATATTGTGCACTTGAAAAAATCAATCTGACCATTGCTCCTACAGACTCATACAGACCCCACTGTCATTTTCTTCTTAGATCAAATATTACTGCTACCTAGATTGTACACACACAAGCTCCAGTTAGTTGGCAATAAAACTGCAGCCCACATCATCACTCCTCCAACACTTCATTGGCCCTTGAAGAAGTTGTCCATGCATGGGCCCATCCATCTGCTCCATCAAGAGTTATTCTAAATTCATCTGTCCATGAAACCTTTGTAAAATCAGTCTTAAGACGTATCTATGCCCATTCTTTGTGTTTTATCTTGAGTACCTTATTCAGTGGAGGTCATGTTTCAGCCTTTGTGACCTAGCAATGTCACATAGCACACTGCACCTTGTTCTTCTGGAAATTTAATTCAGATTGTAGTTTTGGAAAATGTTAGAATTTGATTCTACAGAATTTCTGGAAGTCTCCCATTTAATTTGACACATATCTTTCGCAGTTAATTTGTGTCTTCTTCTCTTTACATGTTGCTTCCATTTGCTGTTCCATTTCCATTTGTTGGCCACAAAACATTCAAATGTACGGTGAACACATTATAAAAGTTGTACAATTTTGTATATTTTGCATCACACTTCACCTTCGTCTTTGTTGTTGTAGTTTCAATATTCGAGCTCTGGTCTTAGGTAAAAGATGTATATTTGTTGGGGTAGATTTTCATCCATATAACATTTTTGTGAAGTTATAATAAGACTCACCAAAGTTCAGAGAAACAAACATCCAAAACAGTTATCCTGTTCAAGGTAAAGTGTCTTGTCTAAAGGTTAATTCATACTTCACTCTTCCACCTGTGCTTTTCAGATGCGCATGGGGGGGAAGTGATGTAAATTTCATCATCAGGAGATTGGCTGCGGTTGGTGTGTATGTAGCCCAGATTTTGATGTCTAGCAGAAATCGTGCATCCATGTGCAATATAATTGACTACATATTTCCAGTAGGTGGCAGCACTGACTATCATAGATGAGTGGTCAACAATGAAAGAGCAGAGGCAGAGTAGTTGCTATTGTTGTAGTAGTTGTGGTGAGCAGCTGTGTAAGGAGGCTTTCAATATACCATGGGATACCATATTACTGTAATACCGCCCAAGCACAGATTAATGACTTTAAAATTGTTCATAAAAGTATACCCATTTCATTACATTGCTTGCATTTCTGTTTGTTGCGATACATCTGCCCTCCCCTGATCTGGTGGAATATCATTCCTGCACACATGCACCAACTGCAATAATCCACATCCACAGCCAAATGTAGAAAGAAACACAATCTCCCGCAAACATGACCATCTGCAGCCTGAAAGTGCATGAAAGCGCTTGCAGAAAAGTGGAGTATAAATTGGCCTTCAGTTACCTCATCAGTCTCAAAATTTGCAGTGTGCCTGCAAAATGTGAAAAAGATCAGTGAAATATTTATAGAGTTACTGTTTTCACATTACCATGCATCTTTTACAGCTGTCATTTCCTTCCTTTGCTGACACATAGCATTGCTGCTTGTTTTTGGGCAATTTATCTCAAAATTTGATCCAGTTCCAGTTTATCACCTATAGAATGGATGGATGGTATACTGGAGAAGCAATTTTGGAAATTCTTTCTCCACAGCAAAAAGTCCTCTTGACATGACCTACTACTAAATGTCAGTAATTTTGACTGAAGCGCACTCACTATACAACAAAGACAGCTGTCCATAAAACATAACTTGTCTCAGACACTATAGCATTTCAACTAAAACAGCATGTAAAAGGACATAACCATTTATAAGAAAAAAACAGTAATTTTATTATATAATAAAAGTAATAAATAACATGTACTCTTCTGTCCTTTGAAGCTACAGTTACCTGGTAAGGCACAATAGCTAAAGAAACTGGATTTGTTCAAGTATTGCCAATTCCCAGTAGAAGTTTGCTGTTGTACATTTTACTCCAAAATCCATGCATTTTCTGTAATTGCTTATCCAATTCAGGGTCATGGGGGGTCTAGAGTCTGTCTCAGAGGTTACATGTGCAAGGCAGGGAACAACCCAGGATGGGGTGCCAACCCATCGCAAGGCCCACTCACATACCAGTCACTCACACATGCACACCTACAGGCAATTTGGTAACTCCAATTAACTTCGGTCTGTTTTCTGACCGTGGGGGGAAACCGTAGGACACCCCACGACGATACTGGGAGAACATGCAAACTCCACACACATGGAACTATGGTGGAGTCTCAAACCTTGGTCCCAGAGGAGTGAGTCAACAGTGCTAAGCAGTAAAGTTGTGTTATCATGTGTTATCAGAGCAAACAAAAGCATCAATATGACAATAAATATACTAATACCAGAGTTCAGAGGCCTTACAGCAGATTGAGTTCATTGTATAAATAATAGCTATGATTACCCACTAGACTCATACAGTGTTTCCACATCAATTAAATGCATGTTAATTAGCACAGAAACAGGTACCAATAATTACATTACTGTGAATGGAAAAGCATCTGAACCCAGGAGAGAGGGTAGAGAAGGCAGTACCACTGCTGTCTCAGTGTCTGCTCCAATTCATTCTTTTCACGTCTTTCAACATGTAACAGTAAATAACATGTTTGTGATTTTAATGCTTCAAAATCAGAAAAACATTGGGTAAAAACAAGTAAAAACCTACAAACAGATCCTCCCAGGAACAAAATCTACGGTACTTAACATCCATGATGAGCTTCAGTACAGAGAGCTGCTCCTCATTTACAAAACAAATGGTGGGCAGGTCCGACCAGGAGTGACTTTGCTGCCTCACCCACCTCCCAGTGTAGTGATTGTTTTTGGCCTTTGGTTTCAGGGGCCTCACACAAATGTATGGTCTGAGTAGTGGCAAACCTCTCAGAATTTGACATGTATGAGCAGGGGCACAGCTTAACATCTTGTGTTTCCTGCTAGGGTTGCCACAATCAATCTGAAGAAATATAGATCACCCACGGTAGAATTTACCAATTATGTAGTAAATTTTCATATGCAGGGGCCCCGATAAAATGCTGGGCTAAATCTATGCCCCTCCAACACCCTTGAATAAGAGTCCAGTCGCACAGCCACATGGCCATTCTGCTGCAGTTTCCACTCTGGTGCCACACTTCCTGGCAATATTTCCTGTGTCTTCTTTCACTATTTAACGTATGAATCACAATAATAACCATACCATAATATACATATACATCTTTTGTACAAAATACCACATACATATACTTTATTATAATATGAATATAAATATTGTACATAAAGAGAAGGACAAAGTAAATTATATTTCATACTCGATGATAGCACTGGAGCCAATCACCTGCACTGGTTGGTTGGCAGTCACAAGCTTGCTGTGATCCTCAAATGACTGTGGCGAACAGGAAGATCTGGAGTAGGGGCATGACCTTCAAAGTTGAAAGGTCGGCAAGGACTGCCTGTGTTTAAGTCAGAGAGTCACTAGTCAAATCATTAAGATGGCCGACAGTTCCACAACACAGTTTCCACCATTACAGTCATCATTCCAAAAATGGACAGGGGAGATAAGTCATAAAAAATAAAACATTGGATTAAAAAAATATAAATTTGATCATCCTGCCCCTCCCAACAGCCATGTGGCAAATTCAACCCTCCTTGCCCTGGCCTTTTGGGATTTCAGATTAAATTTAGTGACCTATCATGTTTACAGAAAGAGTGTAATATTTCCCCCCTTGGCCTCAGGCTAAAAATAAAAGCCACAGTATGACACTTTCTCTAGTGAACCAGGTGCTTCATGACCTAGCAAATAAATGTCTCACAGCATCTTAAAACTTAAAACCTTACAATATAAGGTCTATGCGTCACCATGGATTAGTTAAAGGGCTCATTTTAACATTTACTACATCTCTCAACCATGCAGCCATTATAACTGAAATTCACCAACCTTCTAAAACTCAGATGGTAGTCTAGTTAGTCTAGTTCAGCAGTAGAAGAGATTAATGTGTACAACTTCCCCATCCATCAGGTACAAAATGTTTGGCAAACACTTTATGATCAGTTTTCTCTTCCTCTTGATTTGTTGATATTGTAATTGAAGATATCAATAATTTATGTTTTATTACAAATAAACACAGAAGCATGCACAACACAACATCTACACTGTTAACATTTTAACTGTAAAGGACAGGGGGTTGGATTTAAATGAGCAGCCAGCATTTTGAAGACATGCATGCAGAAGACTAAGTTACAAGTAATGATTGGAATTCAAGGGCTATTTTGGGGGGTCTGACTGGGACAGGGGAGGAACTCACACTCACCTCAGCCGCAGCCAATGACGTCACCTCCATCAGGTTTTCAGCCCGGAAGGCAAACACTGCCGCAGCTAGCACTAAAGAGGAGAGTGGAGAAAACACCCATGATGCACCACAGACTGAGGGCACCAACCCAAAAAGCAGCAGCTTTCAACACTCTGCATTCCTTTAACACAGATATTATTGGAACACCGTTTCTGAAGGTGGGCATGTGCTGCAAACTGCACAAATGAAGTCGAACACACTGGTGAGAACAATCTGTCACATTTCACCACCTGACCATTCTGTCACCACACAACCTTAGGGGACACAGAATGTTTTTGATGCAAAAAACCCGCATACAAAGTCATTTTAATAAAGGAGATTTTTTTTAAATAGAAGTTGCTCTCTTTATTAATGACCAGATAGCAAATGCGAGCACATTTAATGTCAAACCACTAGTGTTGCATGGAATGTCACCTCTCTGATGGGGAAAGAGCCTTGGATTGCCACCTTATCGTGGTGGAGGGGTTTGCGTGCCTCCGTGAACCTGGGGGCTAGGTTGTCGGGGGCA